CGTTGGGCTCATATGTTCATATGAGCTAGTGGGCTAATCTCATCTTTTCCCATATATATATATATATATATATATATTTAACAATGTCATGGTTGATTTATACAAAACGCGGTTTGCTCATATAAACTTTTTGGAAAATTGTTTCATGCGGGCTGGATTGCATTTCTACATGAGGTTTAGAAAGTGTAAAGCATCCATCTTAAAGATGGATGCAAGTAGGTGTTCCATATAAAAATAATGGAAAGTAACGGTTCAAATATTTTCTTATTAGAATTATTATTTCTAGTTTTTAAACTTGATTTAGTTTTTTATATCCATGATCTCCATGTTAGAGATTAGATGTCCAAACAAATTATGTCTTAAAATGCATCTAAAAAATAAATTGATTAAGAGGCCCGCATATCTACATATGCGGGCTTGGCCGCATAGAAACTGGATCCTAAAATTTTTTCATGCGGGCTGGACCGAATTTCTACACGGTCAATTTTTTTTTAATACAATTATTATTTTTAGTTTCTATTTTTTTTTTCATATTCATAATCTCCATGTTAAAGGTTATATAATCGCTAAAAATTAGGATTAAATTATATTTAAAAAATATATTTATTGTCAAGCCCATAGTTTTTTATTTTGTAGGGAATATTTATATTTTTTGCTGGGCAAGTTTAAGAGAAGAGAGAACGCCCCAAATTTGTTGTCAAAATGTTTTTGTAGAAAAAAAATAAAATATAGAACAATATATAGGTGTGACATTGTGATTGGGGTCATCATAACCGTTCATTCAAATCGTATGGCTGGGAGATAAAAGAAGTATATAAGATGCATTTGGTGGAAAAGTGTTAACAGTTTTCCATTTCTAAAACCTGAAATACAATTTGTTTTTAACCATTTATCAATGAATAAAATTATGCCATTATTTCAGCAACTCTATCTCCCTCTCTATCTCTCAGCTTAAAATAATAAAGAGAATGAAATTGTACCATTACTTCAACATATCTCTCCCTCATGTGTTCATTTCATTCAAAGTAGGGAAGTTTATTACTTTGAAGGTTGTCGCATTACTATTTTTTGTGATGGGTAGGCCCAAAAAACTCGACAATATGGTTGGGGTTGTGATGGTAGCACCACTCGTACCCCAGCAAAAATCTAGGCTTCCATTTTCACCTAACGCATTCATCCCCATTGAATTACCCAACAAAAAAAAAAAGCCTCAAAAACTCCCCTTAAAAAAAAGACACACCCCCAACAAAACAAATAGAGAAACGATTAAAATTTAATTATTTGGACATCTCTCTCTCTAATTGAGAGAGAGACCATTGATATTAGATAGATGTCGTACATGTCCATTGCATATATATCACATTACATGCTTTGTCAAAAAAAAAAAATTCTCATAGCATTCATCTATAATCAATACCAGAACAATGTTCAATTTTGTCAGACAATGCAGATGAAGTTACAAAGATCCAATTCAATCCATTTTTTCAAAAGATAAAATATGAAAACACTAATAGCAACAATTATAAATGATAGCATAAAGTACATCTCCTTCTCAAGATGTGTATACTACAAATCACCAGCCCTAAAGAATATGTAGTAGTTTTTAGCAGGCATTTCCTCGAAGGACCCAATTTCTACACGGCCAAGCTCGCGTATGTAGAAATGCGGGCTTATTAATAAATTTATGTTTGAGACGAATTTTTGGACTTAATAATCTCTAATATGGAGATCATGAACATGGAAAAATAAAAAAAATTAAAATTTAAATAATAATTTTAGTAAGAAAACTTTGGACCATTCGTATCTATTGTTTTTAGATGAAACACTTACTTCCATCCATCTTTAAAATGAATGCTTTACACTTTCTAGATCACATATGTAGAAATGCGGTCCAGCTTGCATGAAACAATTTTCCTCCCTATAATATATATCCAATGTTTGCAATATAGATAATGAAATTTAGTATCAAAACATTCAATTACATTGTATATATAACTATAAACATTTCAGATCTATAATGTTTTCTGCAATCACACACAAACGGAAAATATTATAAGACAGGTGAGTCAATGACCTCACCTTTTCCTCTTTGGTGAACGTACAGAAGCATGCATATTCCAAACAAGAAGACAAAAGAAAAAAAAAAAAAGAGAGAAGGGAAGATGGGGGAGAGAAGAATTTGACAAGGCGGGGAGATTAGCACAACGACTAAACCAATGAGTAATTGGTCTGACGTGGTAGTAAAATGGGCTGGCTCAACAGGATTACTACTAGACATCAATGCCGATACTGACCAGCTAAACACAATAGTTAGTCTGTCGTGGCAATAAAGCAGGCACAATAGTTCTGACACAATAGCATTATGGCTAATCTCAACCCCACTTAATCAAACAAAAGAATAACATAGTGAAATTCATAAAGAAAGAATAAGAAGTAAGAGAATAGAAGAGATAAGAGGAAGAAAGGAAGAGAAGAGTTTGAGAGACGAGGGAAGGAAGGAGAGAGAACTGAGAAAAACACAGTTGGCACTAAGCTTTGCTGGCTGCATCGAAAGAAGAAGAGATGAAAAATACAGTCGGCGCTAGGCATCACCGACTGGGTTTAGCAGATGAACAGAGAGAGAACACAGTCGGCTGTGGGTATCGCCGGCGTCAGACAACAGAGATAAGAGAGACAGATGTAGTCGGCACTAGGCTTCGCTGACTGTCAGACAGGAGAGAGAAGATGCAGTCGGTGCTAGTTTCACTGACTGTCAGACAGAGGAGAGAGACGATGCATTCGACATTGGGCTTCGTCGACTGTCTCAGATGAAGTGAAGAGAGAGCTGATGCAGTCGGCACTAAGCTTCACCAGTTGTATCGGACGAAGAGAAGAGAGAGAAGATACATTTGGTGTTAGGCTTCACCGGCTGTATTAGACGAAGAGAAGAGAGAGAAGAGATGCAGTCGGTGCTAGGCTTCGCCGACTGTATCTGACGAAGAAAAGAAAGAAAAGAGCATGCAGTCGGCACTAGACTTCACCGATTGTATCTGACGAAGAAAAGAAGAGAGAGAAAGAGATAGAGATGAGAAGAAGAGAGAGAAAGAGATAGAGATAGGAATAAAAGAGAGAAAGAGATAGAGATGAGAAGAAGAGAGAGAAAAAGATAGAGATTAGAAAAAGAGAGAGAAAGAGGTAGAGATGAGAAGAAGAGACAAAGAGATAAGAAAGAGAGAGAAAGGGGGAAGGAGAGAGAAAGAGGGGAGGAGACAAAGAGGGGATGAAAGACAAAGGGAGAGAAAGAGGGGAGGAGAGAGAAAGAGGGAAAGAG